CACCCCACAAAGAATGTCATTAAGTGTCAAGAATGTTAATATTTGCTTAAGAAATTGAGAGTTACAACTTCCTGCTTCAAAGAATTAACTTTACGACAGATACCATACTATAAGCAACGTCTATAGTGGTGCTTTCTTAAAGCTATTTTTAGTTCCTGCTTTTTCTGATGTACTCCAGAAACTCTGCAGAGAAAACCTTCTATTCAAAGGCTTAAAGGAATGAAAAATGAAATAACACTGCATTCTTCTAAGTGTTCCCTGTACTGAAAGTCACTTGCAAATGCAGCACCCTGCCACAGGTCTACATTTTTAACTATAAAGTATTTTGTGCAATTTTTCAATTGCTATGTGACTTTGTGTCAGTCTCTCACTCAGAAGCAGAATGGAGTACCAGAAAATGACACATCATGTCTAAAACTACAGATGTGGAAGATGAACGTACACCAGGAAACAGCTAAGTGGGAGGGTAAGGTTTAACATTTAAGTTACCGTAAATGCAGTTACACATTCTCCCTGCTTCCCCTGTGAAGTGAAGAACTAGTCTTTTCCAGAAAAGTTCTCATTCTGAGAACTGTCTTCTTTAAAATATTTGGAGATTCTTTTTTAAGGTTCTTTCACTTTTAAGTCTTTCCCCAACTCTACATCCCATAACAAGTGTTAAAATTATCCAATAGCCTATTGTTACAAAACATACACTAAAAAAGCTGAGGTTTCCCAGGGCTTGGATCCCAGAACTCTGCTACCAAATAATCCTAAAGTCTTCCTTCCATAACTGACTCTTCTGCCAATTCCAAGCTGTGGGCAAATTCAGCTTCTCAGACCAGGTAACTTTCTATCTCTGCCTACGAACACTCTGCTGCCAGTAAAGGGAATCTCAGACAGGAAGCACACAAAGCCTCTAGTGAGGGTTGCCTCCTTCAAACAATCGAGATGCCATCACCAAGCAAATATTTAAACCTACTGCAAAACTTCTGAAGACATCTTACAAAAAATATAGTTTCTATAGATGCATACTCTTTGCTCTGTAATAGTGATTTCCAATGGAGGGAACAAAGGACCACATGACCCAAGCAATTTTTTAAAACTGCACATAACCGTCCCTCTTCACATGAGGACTCAGGCAAGCCCATCTTACAGGTAGGTGTAACAGAATGACAGCACCTCTAGGATTAGGGTGAAAAGCAGCGAGGTAGACTTTTAGTGAAAGGGGGTGATGTAATAGGCCCCATTGCCCGCTTACCTCCCACCACAGGACAATCATCTCAGATCGAGAACAAACACTTTGGGAAACAGAGGTTGTTAATGTTTTTATGGTTTTCTGCTGGAAATAATGCCCTCAGTCATGTGAAGTTGCGGCTGAAAAATTGAACAGGAGACCAGACATTTTCACATTCAGGACACAAATTCTCAGCCCCCGGGTGGCCACCATATCTGCTCTCCCCTTTGCCTGTTCACCCCAAAAGCTGCAGGACTCTCCTGCTTGCAATGACACCCACCACTTCTCACAAATTCCTGCCAAATTGACGTCAGCAGCTGGTGGTGCCAAAGTCACCATTTGTACTGCTCTGAAGTCCCTCCATTACTTTATATCCCTTCTATTTTCTCTGTTGTCTTCCTAGCTACACTTGCATTCAAAAGCTGGTTACCGCACTAACATTGCCTCTATAATAAGTCCAGGATATAGGAAGTAGAGATTCAACTGTATCCAGTCCCAGAATACTTGTCATGCCACTCTAGTTTCCCAACAAAATACTCTGTTATCCCTCATCTCACCCAAAGAACCACTGCATTACTTAGAGGTTGTAAAAGTTGAGGGCTTTCTCTACTGGAAAACACTGTGGCTTGTGGCAGAGTTGTGATTTCAGTTTTTGCAACTAGTTACAGGCAAAAAGACGTGTTCCATAGATGTTCTTCAAGCGTTTGGAATTTAAACTTTTATTAGATTCAGAGCCGGCACACTAACTGTAATCTATGAACATATGGCCATATTACCAAATAAAGGTCATGTCTGCCATACAGCCATGTAAGAAATTGAATTACACCTGCATCCTGTAGGCCTTTAGAATTGGATGTGAAGCATCCTGTGAGATAAAAAACCTCCTATCCAGTCACAGAACACCTTACACACAACATCACATTAATGCCACTGAATACATTACTATAGTACATGTATGGTTAAGTTACATCTCCAATTTCTCAGAGCTGGAAAGGAGATGTCTAGAAAAGCTGGAAAAGCTCAATTACCAAAACAGCTGAAAAGTTAAAGCAGACTCCTGCACCTCCCAGAGTGGGGGGTGGAGGGGGCCTTGCCCACCACCCTGTCCTCCCCCAGGACATGGCATGTGGGGAAGCAGGCAGGATTGGGTGTCTGGGACTCAGAGGTGGAGAGGTGATGAAAGCAAGAGTGGAACTGCTTTGGTCCTAGAACAACAGAGCTGTAAAAAGCTCAGCTTCAGTCAAACCCGCTCACTCTCCCAGTTTCCCTCCCACCCATGTGACAAACAGAGCACAGTCAGACACTTTCTGCCCATGACGGTGACTACAAGCAGGAAGGACCAGGATAAAAG